TACGTACATACAAATTTTTTGTATGTATTAAATATTAATATTATTTATTATACCCTACTAAATATCGATATTCAAGCTTATAAAAGACATAGTTGTTTTTGTTTGATTAATGATGGTGTGGTTTAATTTACGATAGCCTTTACTTGCCCATTCTTGAACGTTTATGAAAGATTACATTAATTAAAAAAAATAGTGATATTTACAATCATTCGCAACCGTAATCGTTCTACATGACATACATATGACAGTTAACGATTTGATGCATGAATGTCATGTAAGACAACTACAATAGTAAGCGACTGTAAATAACGTTAATTGAAAATTAGGTGGTATAATGTATCAGTTAAAAATGGAGTTTGGAACTTGAGGTAATATGTTGAGATGTCAATTCGAGCAATGTAATTAAATTGATTTAAACTCGAGTTTGCAGCTTTTAAATTTTATTTAATTTTCTAAATTTTCTGGAAGGAAAAGATTATATTATAATTGGGGCGGACTGAGACCATTTTTCTTATGGGGTCAAAAATGAGAATTCAAAAATGTTTAGATAAAAAAATAAAAACTCAAGAGGAAAACTCAAAAAATAAATAAATTTGTGGCGTCATTTGACCCCACATGACCCCATGTGGGTCCGCCAATGATTATAAATAATTTTAAAATTTTCAAATGAGGTTCATAAACCAGAACTATGTATATTTTAACTAAAATTGAATCCAATCAATTCGTTCAATTCAAATGGCTTTAACTCGAAGATAAAGCTATACCATAGCGTTTTTAAATTTATAATTGTATTATTGGTATAGACACGTGTCAATGGTCAAATTATAACCTTGCCCTATTTTATCAAAAAATTGAGCCAATCCGAGTTCAAGGTCCGAAAATTGCTCTTTGACAGCTTAAATTAATTTTTATGAAGTCGAAATAAAATCAAATATGAAAACCCAAATAAGTTAACTTAGATTAATTGGACAAAGTGAAATACATAAATTTACTTAAAATTGCCAAAATGGAGCATTCTAAATGATCACCAAAACTTTTACAAACCTATTTACACGGTGAGCAGAGGGGGAGTATTTTGCACCTCTTATATTTTACTATCTATTTCACTCTAATAGCAAAAGTATGAACTTGTTGGGTGCATAATGTTGATCTCAGAATTTGTTCGATCGAGTGGTCAATAGAATTTCGATTAATTCATCGTTCACATAGGCATCACCTACACGTTGAAATACAATATTAGAGTGCAAAGGTCACAGGTCGAGAAAAAAGTCAAATGACAATTTGCACTCCGACGATCAAATTAACTCGGAATAGAATAAATGAGCGAGAAAAGCGAGGGAGATTTAACTAGTGTTTAAAAAACTTGAATGAATTCAGATAGGAATGAAAAATGGGTCAAGACTCAAGATAGGTTTAGTGGAAGGAGCACAAGTTGAGAATCGAAACGAACTATATCATGTCCAGCCCTAATCAAAATAGTTTTAGTGGAACGAGCCCAAGTCCTAGCCTCCAATTGACATCATCAATGTCAAGTTAACGTGGACTCCATGCATTATGTTCATATCAAATATAACACATACAGTTAGTTAATGAGATCAAATTTCAGAACTTAAGAAAGAAACATTTTTATTTTCAACGCATCCCCAATTGTAGCTCTTTGTTCCATGTATACAGGTATGATCTATCTATCATTTAATAATTATAACCACCATTTAATGGTAATTAAAAATCACATTCATTTTAAATCTCTTCCAGCTGAAATGGTAAAAACTCATATTAAAATCGTTAACTATTATAAAATATTATGCTATATAAAGTCCAACATCACCAATATTTGCGATTAGAAGATAGCTTGAATTGGCATGAATTTTTTTTTATAACGTCGCTTTCTTATGAATGTGATTCGGAGTAATGAGATATTTGACAAACTATTATGTAATTTTAATAACTTAATGCTATTGACACAATCTAAAAAGCACTGCAAACTTGTTTTATCTAAAATTTCATCTGAAAATTTATCAGCAAATTTTAGACTTCTTTGAATAGATGTAAGCGTTCAAGTGAATGTATTGGCCTAGGAACAAAAAATAAGTTTCTTAACTGAAACAACTAAATCATTATTTTTGACAACATGAATGAATGTATTAACATGCTTGAAATGTTGTTCTATACATTCAGAAAATATAACAACATCGTCAATATAAAAATGATAAAATCTTGAAAAGAATTGAAAATATCATTCATAATTTTTTGAAATTCTGAAAGAATATGTTTTAGACCAAATGACATAACATTTCATTCGTATTAACATATAGGAACATTGAATGCCATTTTGTATCTATCTTCTTTTTTTAATTTGAAATTGTTAGAATCATGACTTCATATCAAAATGTAAGAAGATAGTTGCTTTGAATAATCTATTTAATAGATCTTTCTTTTGAGGCAATGAATATCTTATCCATTGAGGAGCTTTATTGAGAGGCTTGTAATTGATAACTAAACAAAGAACACCTCGTTCAATTTTAGTAGAATTATTGACATAAAAAAGACTGAACAACTTCAAGGGGATTTACTTGGATGAATCAGTCATTTATCAAGTAAATCATCGATTTCCGTGATATAATGATAAAGCAGATCTTTATTCATTTGAATCGGTTGAGACTTTGTAGGAATACTTGACTCGGGAAAATCAGAATTATATGGAAGAGAAACAACATGTTTCTTCCTATTCCAAAAAACATTTAGAATACTAGAACATATTTCATTTTCAATTTTATTTTTAAAGTGAAGAAATTTTCTCAATAATCGAGAAGTCTTTTAATTGATCATCAATTATTTGAAATTTAATTTCTTCCTTAAGAAATTGAATAAGTTTCTTTTTGTAATTAATGTTATTAATTAATTTTGAAATAGATACCTTTTTTAAAGCATTTACATCTCTGTAAGATGGAAGATTTTTAAATTTGAAAAATATATCTTGCCCCAATATATTGGTGGTAAGACCTTTATAATTAGCTAGAAAATGATAAATTTGAATAATGGAAGGAGTGTTAAGAATAACTTCTTGGTTTAAATATTCCACTAAATAAAATATATTTTTGAAACAAATATTGGAATTGCAAATATGATCTTTTGAAAGTTTATATTGGGAAAATGCTAGACGTACTCCATTGTCTACTACACGGTTCACTTCCTGCTGATGTGGCGTGGGATTTGAAAATGGTCAACAAAGCAATGTAAAAGAAAAAAGAAAGGAAAACAAAAACCCAATTTTAAGGCGCCATTCTGCAAACCTCCCGTCATTTTTCCTCCCCTCCGCAGTGAAGAAGCTCCCGGCGAAAATGGATTCTCTTGAAAACCCAGTCGACCTGGCCTGCAACTTGGACGACGGCGACCACACGTCGTCGAACCCTTTAATTCCCCCCACCCCCCACCCACACGCTGACGTCGAGATACATTACCTGACGGAGATGAAGGGGGGCAACTCCCACTCCGACAAATGCG